TTCCCTTTGAGAAGCCAATTTTTATTAGCACGTTCCTTGGTCTTTGTTCCTTCCTCTTCTTTGTGAATGTAGGCACAGACCTGATTATGAAACTGCTGATAATACTGAATTGTGCCTGGTTTTATTCTTTTTTTTTTGGTTGGGTGTGTGTGGTATCTTTCTGTTCCTATTTAACACACAGTATAAGAGTTCTGCCTTCAACCTGTGAACAGTTTATGGTCAAATGGTAGCAGAATTCCTGCTTTCCACCCCTGTTGTCTTCCCTCCCCATTCAACCTGTGATCAGGCACTTCGTGAATCCTGTAATGAGACATTAGCAATGAATATTTTTAAAAACTACTCCTTGCTGTTGTTTTATATCCATTAGTGTGCTACTTCCACAAGTTAAAATAAATTAAATAAATTTGACATGTAGCTGGGTACACTCTATCCAGAAATAAGATGCTAATATTAAATTGTAATTTGAGAAAGAGGGTCAGGAATTTACTGTCTTTGAATAACCTAACCTTTGTTACAGTTCTCTGTGTGTGTGTTCACTAATGGCTGAACTCCCTTCATTTTAGGGAGATTCTGGAGGTCCCTTGGCCTGCACAGGAAAGGGAAATAAATGGTACCTTGCTGGTATTGTGAGCTGGGGTGAAGGATGTGCTCGGCGCAATCGTCCTGGTGTATACACTAAGGTGACAGCACTTTATGACTGGATTCGTCAGAATACAAACTGATGTGCCAAAGAGAAAATGCAGATCATCTCCCATATGAAAGCTGCTTCCTGAAGTAGTCTGTCCCACTCTGATGATATAACATGAAATGCCATTGACTGTTTCTTCATGAAAGAATGTGTGCTTTCTTTATGAAGAAACTAATTTTCTGTTCACCTAGTAGTAACTGTTCAGATTCAGAGCAACTTCAGATTCCTTATGGATTCATCTTTCTTATCCCCAGCAGGAGAAACAGCACTGCCATAAAAATGAAACAAGATGTATTAGAATCTGTAACAAAATAGAGCCAAATCTCTCTTTTGCAAATCTTCTCCCCTTTTTCCATCTCCTTTGCTGTCTTTTTATCCACATTATGTTTCCACATACACGTCTGGATATTCATGGCCACGTCCCATATATACTCGACTCATATATATTACCTTCATGGTCTTACAGGATTCTAAACATAAATTATTATTTCTTATTTCCTGAAAATACAAATACTATAATCAGTATAGTATGCAAAGCTGAGATTAATTAATTCTCTAGTTATGCTACAACTGCATGACTCTACCTTTTGGGCTGTAATTCCTGGGCTTTCTCCTGTGTTTTCCTAAAAACACCAGATGTTAGGATGTAAGAAATTTTAATTCAAGAACTCAAAGAGCATCATTTAGGTTCTTTGTGATGGTGTTTAAATAATAGGAAAGAAATAGTCAGTTTTAATTAATTAAACAAATGGTAACTTAGCTGCTTTCTTACATTATATTTACAATTTGAACATAGTCACAGGGTCTGATGTTTTCAATAAGTTACAAATGTATTTCTGCAGCTCTGTCTCCTTCATGCTTTGTGAATTTTCAGCATGCTTTTGACGAGTTCATGTTGATTTTCCTGATGTCTTTGGTCTGCAGCAAGCAGAATCTCAGGGTCAGGATTTTTGTTTTAAATCTCTTCCTGGGCCATGCCCACATTGTCACACTATATTGAAAGGGAAATAAAAGGAAAAGGGATTTATGTGGTTGTATGCATCCCTGGAATCAAAGAAAGTGGAAGAGGAAATGACAGCCACGCTCCTTTAACCCTAGCAGTAAATCTAGCTTTGATAATCATAATGTCCTGATGAGCAGGTCAGCCCAAATCAACATGATTTAAGGTTACCAAAGCTGTTTATGGGATTTAGGAATACTGGTGTTGAATTTAATAAAAGTTCTGTCTTGATGGTCTTTAAATTGTGCCCAGTATTTGAAAGTGTTGAGTATTCATCTTGAATGTGCTTTAGAAAAATAAATAAAATAAAATAAAATTTGGCAATTTGAATACCCATCATTGCTGTCCACACAGCACACTTCCACTGTACATAAATGTGTGATCCTTGTTTAGTTTTAGACCCGTCACAGCAGCACATAGGAAAAACACTGCAATGAGCTAGCATTGTAATCTGCATGCAGTGAGATTCCCATTTCTAACACTGATACTGCTTTTCCTTCTTTCCCTTGCCCTAGCGTTTGGGCATTCCACCCGCCCACAGTTGTGTCAAACTTGCTACATAAACTGTACTCAAAGCCTATATTTTAGGGTGCTTAGTATCTTTAATGGCTAGCCTGTCATTCACCTCTTTTTAATAAACACATGCTAAAAATGCAAGTGGCTATGATTAATTTATTTGATTGTGCCTCTGAAACCCTAATTCTGCAGGTGCAATCAGAACTACATTTGTAACTTCGAGTTTCCTCTTTTTGTGAAGCTGAGACTAACTTGCCTGTTTACTGAAGTGTGCGCTTAAGGGCGTAAGTTTCTTTTCTTTATATTGAAGCCAGAAATGTCTTCACCATGGAAGAAAACAGTTTTCTTGCTGTTCTGTTATAGATAAAAGCCTGGGTCACAAGGTTCAGATCAGTTCTTGACTTCCTATTTTCTTTAAGAGTTTCTCAGCGCCATGTGCCAGAATGGTCACTACGTCACATGCAAGAAGGGCGCCAAGTGTGGAAGCTAGATCACTCAGATGAAAGAAACTCAAGGACTTTCTTCACAGATGTAAATAAAAGGACTTTGGCTTTTGCAGAGTGAGATCCATAATCATTAACTCATTTGACTTAGAAAAACTGTTTTGGTTTCAGACAATTCAGTAGGAAGGTAAGATCTCTTACTGTGAGTGGCAATGAAATAAATGAAGCTCATCATCTAGCAGGAGTACTGAGAACAGCAGGAAAAGGCTTTTCTAGTAAAGATGTTCCAAGTAAAATCTTGTGGATGAACACGTGTTTTGATCTTGATGACTGCTCAGCTTCACCCTCAGTCCCCTGGAGTTTTAAGGATTCTCTAGAACAAAAAGGTGGGGTATGCAATTTCTATTTCTTTTTGTTTGGCGAATGAAGCCAAGCCTCGTGCTCAGCTTTGTGGAGTGCCTTTGCCTGGATGGCTATGACATAACATCAGGAATCTGAACCCCTTGGAATGCTTCAGGCATTAGTAGCCAGATGAGTTGCACAAACAGAAAATCTGGCTCAGGAAGGCAGGGAGGGGAATGAAGAGTTGGGGTGTGAAGCAAGCATCCTCAGCATTTCTCAGGAAAAAGGAGCAATGCTAAGAGTGGATACTCAGCCAGCAGGGGAGGGAGTTGGAGAGAGAGGCTTTGTTTCCCTCTTAATGCATGATCCTCTCTGCTGGGACAAGAGAGTGAACAAGAGTGCAGTTACAACTGCCTGCCCAATCCTTTTTATCCAGAGAGGAGAGAGGTGCTTGGGG